TCAAACACTTCCTAAAGCTAGAAATATCTGAAAAATAGGTTGGAACCATCTAGTTTCTTAAACATGTTTTTACAACAATGGCCAAAATTTGTTCTGAAGGTCTCAAATGAAAGTTCAAGAGGTGTTGATTTTGGTTCTTACCTTGGTTTGATGAAATAGATTGAAACTAAACCAAATCCTCCACCTTTGCTTAAGAGAATGATGAAGAAGAGGAATATAACTTGGGAGAAGAAAAGGGAATGGAAGAAAAAGAGAAGGTGAAAATCAGACGTGAGATCACCAATCTTAATTGGTTTTCAGCCTTTACTTTGAATAATTGTATATTTGCTTCCTTAGTCCTTCTGATTTTAGTTGTAAGCTAAAAATACCCTTTTTATCCGCAATTGGGTTCAATCCAAGCCTAATTCCACTTATTCTTGGGTCAAGGCTTCCTACAAGCTAGAGATTTAATCCAAGGCCCATTTTGAGTTAGCCCAAACCTTCTAACATGGGATTCGGGATGTTACAATATCTGTTGGATCCATATTAGCTCGAGGAAGCAAAACCCTATACCCACTTCTCACTATATACATCCCAGATTTCTCTCCACCCCAAACCCTGCAATCAGCCTGATCAAAACTTGATAAAGTGATACTAAGAATGATATCCGCTTCAGCCTTACTTAACAAGTTTCGAACCAGCTCAACCTTCCAACCCCATGTTTCCACATCAGTCAAATCCACCACTAACTCAACCAAAATTTTCCTCGTGGTGGCAATTTGAGTTGGCCATTTTGTAGGCAACAAAAAATCATTCCAAATAAAAATTGAATTTCTATTACCTACCTTCTATCGTAGCCCGATCAGAAGAAGACCTTCGCACTCCAAACGCTCTTCCAAATATACAAAGGTGTTGACCCTAACCTTGAAGATAAAAAAATCTCCACCGACATAATATTTTGCCTTGAATAACATCCTGCCAAAGAATTCGGATTCTGAAACAGCCTTCAACCATGTTTTGTCAAAAGTGCTACATTGAATTTGCCCATATCACGATACCAATTCCCCTTGACTCCTTCAGTTGGCACAAGGACGACCACTGACACCAATGAATCCCCTCTCTTGTATTCTATCTTTTGCCACCAAAATCGAGCCATAATCACTTCTAATTCCGAGCAAAGGGTCTTTGGCAACAAAAAACACGGCATAACATACAAAGGAAGAGCGAATTTAATAAAAACCTCTTTGCCCCATGTGAAAGAGTACAGAAGCTCCAGCTCCTAATTCATCGTTGAAATTTATCTTTCAACCCTATAAAAGCTCCACGTTTGTTCCGTCCAACCAATGCGGGGAGCCCCAAATACTTTTCTGGATTTGATTCAAAAGATACATTAAAAATACACCTGACATCACACATGTGGTCACCAACAACGTTCAAACTGAATAACAACCTCGATTTATCTCTTGACCAGAACTACTCCCATAAATATCTAGAACCTCCTTAATCTGAATAGCTGCTCATTCAATGGCCTCTCTAAAAATGATACTATCATCTGCGAAAAGCAAGTGAGAAATCCGAGACGTATATCCATTTAACCGAACCCCCAACGCCACCTCTGCCTCAATCTCTCGATGAAACATTGCCGACAACCCTTCACTACGTTGCCACATTCCCTTTTCTTCCTGAAAGAATGAAACATTTCATATACAACCATAATGTTGTTCGTTATTAATCGCCCTGGGACAAACACACTCTACGCTTCGTTAATGCAAATTTGCAGCAAGCTCTGCATCTTATGAACCAGCATCTTTGAAATAATCTTATATAGGACACTACAAAGACTGATTGGTTGAAATTGTTGAATATTGTTCAAGTTATCCACCGTTGGAATGAGAACAATATGAGTGTAATTGATCTGCCCTATGTCAAATTGTCCCTCCAAAACGCCCACACAGAAATCCGCAGCTTCTCCACCAATAATATGCCAGAAACATTGATAAAACGATGCACCTAGCCCATCTTCCCCAGCAACGTTTAACGGATATAACTATTTAACAGCTGTTGTGACCTCTTCAAAGGTAAAATATCGAAGCAAATTATGGTTCATCTCGTCTGAAATGCATGAATAAATCCCCTCCAAAATTCGACCATTCGTTTCAGTGAATGATGATTCAAACAGAAATTGAAAATAATCTTTTGCAAGTAATTCTATATCATCTTCACTGTCAACCCTCCTTCCATCTTCTGCCATTAGTGTTGTAATCTTATTGCGTCGTTTCCTTTGAAAATCAAATTAGTGAAAAAAAGAAGTATTGTTGTCATTTGATTGCAGCCAATTCGCCAGTGTCCTCTACTTCTAATACAACTCTCTTTTATTCGCTTCTAGATTCATTTGCAGTTTGGTCTCAATAATTTCCCCTAGGACATCATCCATCGGATTCATCTCCGCCAGTTCTATTAAGCGATTTTGAAAGTGCTTAAGCGAATATTCCTCAAACATGTTCTTCCGAAGCCAAACCCCTATCAATCTTTCCAGAATATTCGTCCTCACACTTTAGCCTCTCTCCCATGTATACCATAATCCCTCAAACCCAATATCGGAAAGACTACATTCATCAATCACATCACGGAAAGCTCTCATATGTCGTTCCCTTCTTACCAAGCTACCCTTTTTTTCAAAAGAATACATTATCTCGTTAAAATTCCCAATGACTAACCATGGAATATCAAGTGAGTCATTAAAACTGCGCAAAAAAAAAAACTAGGAAGCCTTCCTATTATGTTCCTCTAGAGCTCCGTAGAATCTTGTACATCTCCATTTTCTACCATCCACACCCGTGGAGATCAGTACATCAATGTGAGAATTGGAGACTGATCGAAGCATAACCTCATCAATATTTCTCCAAGCCATACATAGCCCTCCTTTTGTACCCATAGGCTCAATCTCAATACCATACCAGAAACCACACGACCTTCTAACCTTAACTATCCTAGACTTTTGTAGTTTTGTCTCCATGAGGAAAACCACATAGGGATTTGCATCTCGCAGCAAATGTCAGAGATGACGGAATGTTCGAGGCATCTCTAATCCTCAGACATTCTAGCTTAAAATTTTCATGGTTGTCGGCTGGCTTGGTTACTCAGGCATGCCGATAAAAATGAATTGCCAATAATATTTTCCTTCATTTCGGTTGGAGCTGCTAGAACACTCCGAAGTCGCTTAGCACTTTGTTGTTTTTTCAAAGGATCCTCCTCCTCCACCCTCATCATATTCCCATCCGAATCCTGTTGAACCCCCATATTTGAACCAAGGTTCTTGAACTTGTTTTCCACCCAAATTTTGGTTTGTCTTTTCAGAGCATCTGATGGAGCCGAGACTGTTACCTTCTGCATCACATTCGTGTTCTCCATCCCACTAGACTCACCCTTCTTACACAACCACGGGCTAGTCAAAGCCTCATTTTTTCGAAAAGGTGCCCTAAGCAAAATATCCCATTGTGCCACCAAATCCTTCTTCTCCTTTAACACTCTCAATGGGCAAAAATTTTCCCCATGTCCCAACTTCCCACACAAAAAGCAAATAATGGAAGCTTCTCATACTGGAAAACAACATATCCAGCCGATCCATTTGGTAGAACTAGTCGTTTTTTTCGTTTCAACTACTTTCTCACATCCACCCCTACCCTAATTTGCATGTTTCCACGACAGCCAAGGATAACAACCTTGTCATCATACTCCTTAAAAACCCCAATAAATCTTCCTATTTACTTCACCACCTGTTTTGAAATATTACTCATCGGTAAATCATTCACAAGTATCCAAAAATTGATTGTATTCAACTCTACTCCCATTGGATCCTCCTATTCCTTCAATCGATGCAATATTAACATATGAGAATTGAAGTACCATGGTCCCTTAGAGTCAACCCTATCCATATCGACTTCATGAAAGAATCGAAACAAATATCTTCCCCTTCCCAAATCAGAAATCGAAATCCCCTAATTGGGTGCTAAATATTCGCTAAAGTAACCTTCATGGCTTGAAAATTGATCAAATTTGCATTGAGAAAACGCCCAACCATACAGTTATCAAGAGATAGTTGCGTGGGACTTTTTGATTGGGCCAGAACTAAATCCTCCTCCTCTTCATCCCCTATCATCAAATCTTCCAATTCATGTTCAATCTCCCCCATCTCCCACTAACCGAGATAGACAAATCATAAAAAGCAAACAAAAAACACGAAAAAAATTGAGTAACACTCAGAAAAACTGACCAAAAGGTAGAGCAACTACATACCAAAAGACGGAGAGAACCCTAGCACAGAAAGTAAATATTTTAATAATTAAATATATATTATTTAAATTTAATTATATTTAAACATATTTTTTAAAAGTAAAAACTATATATATATATATATGATTTAAAATAAACTAGATTATTTAAATGGGGTGGACTTGGATTTTTCTAGACTTGTTCATGTGTTAGACGACCTGATCAGGATCAAGTTTGTGTTTTGATTTTAGGATAAACTACGTATTTAATTATTCATTTATTCTCGTAAATTTATTTTAATCATTTAATTATATTTTTTAAAATTCATATATAATGTTATATTTTAGTTTCATTTTAATTATTCACTGTTAAAAATAAAAAAATATTGGCATAGTAATTTTATTTTTTCAATAATAACATGATATTATCTTGGGAAGTCAATACACACTAATAACAATGTTAACTTTCTAACCATGAATGACAAAAAGAAACAAAACGTAATATTAAGAATAAGTTTAAAAATTATTGGGTGATGAGAACGAAATTATGAGAAAAATAGATTATTAAATATGTTATTAAATAAATAATAAAATTAAAAATTATATAATAAAATAGTAAAGGAAAGAAAGCTGGAGTGGATTCGTTCCTAGTTTCATGATGACCCATCTAGAGAAGCGTGGGCATTTCTGTAAACAAATTAGCTTTGGAGCCCATATAAAATGAAGCACCAGAAATAACGGTAGCGCGTGATGCGATCGGCGGTCGAGGTCAGGAGCCTGTTTTTTCTCCTAGTAGCCGCCGCCGCCGCTTTTTTATTTTCAAATTTCTGAATGAAATGTCACAATCACAGTGGCAGCGGGAAACTGCAGCCGCCGGTGCGGTGGCGGGCTTCGCCACCGTAGCCGCGATGTACCCTCTGGACATTGTCCGTACGAGATTTCAAGGTCACTCTGTGTGTGTGTGTGTGTATATACGCAATATCTTAGTCAAAGATGTTTCAGACTTTTATTTTGTCGCTGATTGGATTGAGCTTTATACAGTTAACGATGGTGAGTCACCAATTTTCCGACTTACAAGAACACTGCCCACACCATTTTTACCATTACTCGCTTAGAGGCTCGCACTTCATCCATCCCTTCTCTTCTCTTATTTTTTCTTGTTTGTTTAGCTTATCAAATTGTATTGCTTAATACTAGAATTTTAAAGCTACTGAATTGATCATATAACCACGAAATCGTGTGATTATTTTATCTATATCATCTAGAGAATTCAGTGACTCCGTATTTTCGTAGTCTAAGGTACTTTCATTTGGTTGTCTTCATGTAAAGTTTCTTTCTTTCTTTCATTGGAGATTACAGTTTCTCTTTGTAAAGCCCCTTTTCCTTTTGATAGCTAACAGTTTTGTGGGTTGATCATGTAGGGTTTGAAGGGGCTTTATGCTGGCTTTCTTCCTGCAGTTTTAGGATCCACCGTTTCATGGGGTTTATATTTCTTCGTTTGGCTGTTATATCTGTATACATATATGGATTATTATTATAGGTTGAAAAATGTATTGTGACAATCAATTAATCTGTTGTTCTATTGTTATTCCTTGTAGCTATGGCAGAGCTAAACAAAGGTATTCTAAAAACAGAGAGGAGAAGCTTAGCTCTGGTCTTCATCTTGCGTCTGCTGCAGAAGCTGGACCTTTGGTGAGTATAAAAAACCGACAGCTGATATTAGAAGACTCAAGAAGAATTTACTTTTAACAGTAAAATTTTGCTAATAACCGAGCTTAAAATCTTTAAGGATATGGTATAAGATGCTAACCGACAATAGCATGTCAGTACATGTTGCTGCAGTTGGATGCTAATTGAGTTGTCTTGGTTTAAGTTAGTCATCTACTCATATTCTCTCTGCTAATGCTAGGTTGGTCTGGTCTTTAATTGACGTTAAACTAGATGGTTTAAAATTTGTATTCTATTAACAATTGGAATCTTATAGCCTTTTTCAGGTTTCCTTGTGCACAAATCCTATATGGCTTATTAAAACAAGATTGCAGCTTCAGAATCCTCTAAATCAAAATTGACGTTATGCTGGTATATATGGTCAGTTCTTCATCTTAACATTAACTTGCTAGTAATGTGCTCCAAGTCTGAGATAAGCATTTCCCCTTGATAGTTAAGAGTAACTCTGGCTCCAAGTCCTGCAAAGATGTCGATGCCTGAAATTTTTGAAGATACACCTTTTTCTTTGTAGATTTCTTGTGCTAGTTGACATTTCTCGCGATGATTTAACACTATTAAACAGATATGGTTTTGAGCACTGATGAGAAGTTAGCCACTTTTGAAAACGATAGATGATCAAGAGGTATTTATATTTTTCAACATGAACACCTTTTAGTGCCTTAATGTTTTCACCCAGAATTGTAATACATGAAAATGGATTTCTGTTGCTGCTATTTCTTCAATATTGTTTTGTCTTAATTATTTCAGATGCCTTAAGAACAATACTGAGAGAGGAAGGATGGACTGCACTTTATAAAGGACTTGGTCCTGGTCTCTTGATGGTAGTTTTCTGTCTGTTTTACTCGTATTTTTTATCTTTTTTCACATCACTATATGCTTAATGCTTATACACACACATACCTTCCCACCAAATTGTTTAAGTAATACCCATGTTACTCGAGAGTCAAATGTGAGTGCTTGACATGGGTATGTATCCAACACGGCCACACGGGTATGTTCAAATCTTTTTCAAGCTTTTTATTTATTTGGAGAGCCTATATATCCATCTGTGGATAAGTGTCGAACATGGGAGCCTGACATGGTACTTAAAAGAAAATGAAGAGCCGGAGCAACATAACCCTATACTTCTTCAATTTACTGCATATTTGGACTTTAGCAGGTCTCTCATGGAGCTATTCAGTTCACAGCATATGAGGAACTGCGTAGGATAATGGTTGATTATAAAACAAGAAAACAGAAATCTGAAAGTGCCAGTAATTTGTTGGTATGTAAAGCAGTTCCGTTTGTCTAAATTTCGGGTTTACATGCATAACAACCGACATACAAACTCATGATTTGTGCCATATGCTCGTAGTGTCTATGTTCATTGTGTTTTTGGGTTCATGGTTTAACAAACTCAAATAAATCTGGAGATATTTAATGACTGATAATCTGAACTATCAAGATCGTTTTCAGTCTCATGGTTCTATCATTTGAGGAGGCTACAACGGATAATGATTTCTACCAATCTCCATCATTTTGCACAGAACTCATTTGACTACGCTTTGCTTGGGGGGTCATCTAAAATTGCCGCCAGTCTTGTTCCATATCCATTTCAGGTATGTGTCGTTTTAAGTGGTGTGAAGCATTTGTATATAATCATATTCTCTGAGCTGGCTGGTCATGGTGTGCCTTACAATGGTATTTTTTTTCAGTGTCGGAACCGTCTTTCGGTTGGGTCCCAGAATTGGGCTTCGACTTGAAAAATATGGATTGGAGTCGCCACCGATCACTTTAAAAATATTTAGGTGGATCGGACACCCTCTTACCTGATCTGCGTTGTAACAGAAACGTATAGGGTTCGGGAGTCGGTTACAGTCAAGGAAGGATTAGCACCCTTGAACCGCCTTTTCAGTACCAATTAATTTAACGGTTGTCTTTAATTGCGAAAATTAAAATTTAAATTAAAATTTAAAATATTCGATTCAAATTACTTAACTTTGATTAATTGAAAAGTATCCCTAAAATCAAAAATATTATTAAATAATAAATAATAAATAAACATTAAATAAATTAAAGGGAAAAAATAAAAAAACAATAATAAAAAAAAATGAATATAGTGGAGTGACAGTACTCTTAAAGTTAACTGACAAACAAGACACAAATCCATAACCTGAAACATGCATGTGGCAACCTGGCTTTCATGTTGCTGTGCATGTGTAGTTAAATGGAATAGGAGGATTTGGAATTACCAAGCTTGAGAGTTTTGTTGAATCTCCAGTAAAGAGCAGGTCCACAAATGCTTCCAAAATCCATGGTTTAGGTAGATTCACCGACGCAACAAATGAAGTTTATGTAGGCGTCGACCTATATACAAATTCCTTGGTATCTCCTCGGGCAGTGGTAAAACACTCGGTTCGTGCTCTGTTTTATGAATATTCCAGTGTAAACCTTCATCTCCAGGTTACCAAAGCTGATAAGATAGTTCGTTGGAAGCCGCCTCTAAACCCAGCAGTGAAAGTGAATTTTGACTCGGCCTTCATGGTTAAAGTGGTGGCAGCATATCACGCGTTGGAGTTTGCAGCAGACTTGGGCTTTTTCATTTGCCATGTTTAATTTCATCTTCAGGTCTGGAAACCTTGTTGCTCATTTGTTAGCCATCGACAGATATTATGGGGAAGAGGAGTGAATAAGAGAGATTCATGTATTTACGTTGACCATGGGCTTGGTGTTCCAGATGTTAAACAAAGGAAATCAAAGCTTAATAACTGAACTCCCCCTAGATTTGAAGGTCGAGTGGCGTTTTATCGCTTCTGTTGATGGAATTGAAAGAGAGAAAAGAGCCGAGAATCGTGGAGAGGTGGGTGGTGAGATTATGGACGTTGTGGGGGTATTGAAATGGTAGAGATAACAATAGAGGTTCCCTTATTTTTGGGTAGTAGTGGTGGAGTAGTGGGGTTGAACATGGGTTCCTACAAAAAAATAAAATAAAGAAATTATTAATAATAATAAATAAATTATAATAATAAAAATATAAATATAAAACCCGGTCAAAAACGGGTGTCTACAGCTGCCCCTCTTTGCACATTCTTGTATTAACAAGAATATGGCAAAGACGAAAAAGACAACCAGTTTTTGTCTGGTCTTCTAAAATGTGATTGAGTTTCCTGGAATTGGGCCTTTGTCTTCTTCTCAGTTTAAAGATTTCGGCTTGAAAATTCTTCCAGAAAGTAATTCATCGCTGTTATCGAGCTGAATGAAATCGAACTCGTCAGGTCTTTGGTTGACAAATAGCCCTTCTTGCCTTAAGCTATGTTGCAAATGATGTGCCTTGGAGCTGAGTGCAATCGAACTCGAAGGTTTGGTGTTTTAAGAGAAATATTTTCAAAGGTTTTTTTTTTCGTTTCAAGAGAAACTGTCTCAAGGGAGGCAAAACTTTGTTTCAAGAGAAACCTATTCAAAAATTGGTGTTTCAAGGGAAACTGTCTCAAGAGAGACAAAATTTGTTTCAAGGGAAACTGTCTCAAGAGAGACAAAATTTGTTTCAAGAGAAACTGTCTCAAGAGAGATAAAACTTAGTTTTTAGTACATTAGTCTTAAACGAGACGACCCCTTGTTTCGAGAGAAACGATCTAAAAGGCGATCGATAATCTGCTTGTTCCTGAAGATGAATATTGCCGGTGGGTACGATTCCCTTCGTCGTGAAGTTGAAATCGTGGATGGTCCATTCGTTGTGAAGTTGAGCCTTGAATTGGATATCCTTCGTCGTGAAGTTGAAATCCAATCTAAAGATGAATGTTGCTTGTGTGTACGATTCCCTTCATCGTGAAGTTGAAACCGTAGATGGCCCCTCCGTCGTGGAGTTGAGCCTTGAATTGGATATCCTTCGTCGTGAAGTTGAAATCCAATGAAAGTTGTGTTGTCTCGAGTCCAATATCATTCGCTGTGAAGTTAAAATTGGCTCCGAAATTGGGAAATTGTTTGTTGACAACCAGCCGTCCCTTCGTTGTGAAGTTGAACTTGAACTTGTGTTGTCTCGAGTCCAATATCCTTCGTTGTGAAGTTAAAATTGGCTCTGAAATTGGGAAATTGTTTGTTGACAACCAACCGTCCTTTCGTTGTGAAGTTGAACTTGTGTTATCTCGAGTCCAATATCATTCGCTGTGAAGTTGAAATTGGCTCCGAAATTGGGAAATTGTTTGTTGACAACCAGCCGTCCCTTCGTTGTGAAGTTGAACTTGTGTTGTCTCAAGTCCAATATCCTTCGCTGTGAAGTTGAAATTGGCTCTGAAATTATGAAGTTGTTGTTGACAACCAGCGGTCCCTTCGTCGTGAAGTTGAACTTGCGTTGTCTGGAGTCCAATATCCTTCGCTGTGAAGTTGAAATTGGCTCTGAATTTGGGAAGTTGTTGTTGACAACCAGCAGTCCCTTCGTCGTGAAGTTGAACTTGCGTTGTCTGGAGTCCAATATCCTTCGATGTGAAGTTGAAATTGGCTCTGAAATTGGGAAATTGTTTATTGACAACCAGCGGTCCCTTCGTCGTGAAGTTGAACTTGCGTTGTCTGGAGTCCAATATCCTTCGTTGTAAAGTTGAAATTGGCTTTGAAATTGGGAAGTTGTTGTTGACAACCAGCGATCCCTTCGTCGTGAAGTTGAACTTGCGTTGTCTGGAGTCCAATATCCTTCGTTGTGAAGTTGAAATTGGCTCTGAAATTGGGAAGTATTTATTGACAACCAGCGGTCCCTTCGTCGTGAAGTTGAACTTGCGTTGTCTGGAGTCCAATATCCTTCGCTGTGAAGTTGAAATTGGCTATGAAATTGGGAAATTATTTGTTGACAACCAGCCGTCCCTTCGTTGTGAAGTTGAACTTGTGTTGTCTCGAGTCCAAATCCTTCGCTGTGAAGTTGAAATTGGCTATGAAATTGAGAAATTATTTGTTGACAACCATCCGTCCCTTCGTTGTGAAGTTGAACTTGTGTTGTCTCGAGTCCAATATCATTCGCTGTGAAGTTGAAATTGACTCTGAATGAAACTGAAAAGTTGTTTGTTGACAGTCAATCGCCCCTTCGCTGTGAAGTTGAGCTACCACCATCAATTTTCGAATGCGCTCGAGTCCAATATCATTCGCTGTGAAGTTGAAATTGACTCTGAATGAAACTGAAAAGTTGTTTGTTGACAGTCAATCGCCCCTTCGCTGTGAAGTTGAGCTACCACCATCAATTTTCGAATGCGCTTTTGAATCGAGTATATTTCGTTTTGAAGTTGAAATTTGACTCTAAAAGCTGTAAAAAATGTGTGTGCTAAAAATGATAAATGTGATGCTCTTAAGTATGTCTAAGATGCATGCAACATAAATGAGTTATTTTTTTATCTCTTGGTTTGGTAACCCAAAATGTCATTTTTTTTAAAATATCGAAATATGCTTTGGCATTTCATTTGGGTGTGGACAAAATAATGCAACTAGAATGACCAATTACTAGACATTTTATTTCGGTCCTCTGAAATCTTCCATTTGTTCAAGCTTTGTAGGCTCCTCCAACCAAGGCAGTGCAAAAAATATCAGTCTAAAAATGAAATTCTTTAGTGCTCGTGTGTAGTCGACTATAACAGGTGTTCCTTAACTCTCTTAGTCCAACATTACCGAAAATTTCGTGCTTAGATAAATTTGATTTATTTTTCCGTTATCTGGCAAGCTGGATCCATAAAGCCGGGGCGTTTAACCAATTGCTTTAGAGGGACCACTTAACATTATAACCAATTTTATCATGTTCACTGAAGGGTTCATTTCATCACAGAGTCTTCAGCCTGACAAGAGCAGTGGAGCAAACACCGAATTACCAAGTGTCCGAGCAATGTCATGGTTTGAACGTAATCTACTCATAAAACCAGGGCTTTCAAGTTTCCTCTATAACCAATTGCCTTAGTGGAATAGCTCTGCTTTACGGATTTAATTTCTTAAGATTGTCAAGAAGAACCGGTTATAGTCTAAGTGTTGTTAAAAGTCAATGAATCTTATCTTTAGAGTTCAATTTCCTAGCAACTGCCTAAACTAGATTTGCTTACTCGACTATTCCATATGTGAAGATTATTATAATCACTGAACGTCTTAAATAAAAAGTATAGCAATGTCATATGCAAAAGGATGCCCCATGTTGTCCGCACCTTATGAAAGGAAAATGTCACATTGGTTAATTGCAAGAGCATGGTACGGTGTTTGAGTGTATATTCTGGGTAATGTCAAAGTCCTTGTTTTAAATCATGTTACTTTGTCAGGGATTCGTAACTTTGAACCATTTACAGAGTTTCTTAATTCAGTTGATATTCAAAGAATTGCAGTTTGCAAATGTGATTTATTGCTCGTCACCATTAAGTAACATAATTTGATTAAAATGTTCTTACAAAACTTGAGAAAAAATGGAAAAAAACAAAGTCAACAGAATGCCTCAAATGATGAAATGATATTCCTCACTTGGTCCCCCAAGTTGTTGAAGTCGATCCAATTCTTGTTATGTATTTTCTGTACGATTCTCTTGAATGTGGAGTAGTTCTCGATAGTGCTCCCTGGGACACTGCTATAATATTCGCAATTAGCGTTCTCATCATACTACCTGGGGTACGGGGGCTTTATGGATTTCTCTGGATAGGGTGACACCCACATGCGCGTCAACAACTGTTGGCAAAGTTTCTTATATGTCATAGGATCGAAATGTTATCCTTTTTAGTAGACATGTGAATGTAATAAAAAAGAGAAAAGTAATGCGAAATATGCAGGAATGCATGATGCATGCAATGTTCGAGGCATTGATCCAAAAATGTGTGTTATTAGAAATAATCCTTATTGGGGACAAAAGTGTTTTATCTTTTAAGAGACAAAAATATCCTAACAGCTTCTGATATGTTGACTAGTCTTCTACCTTCGTCTGTCACCAGTTGAATCACCTGTTGAACCGCTCTGGCTTATCTGGATGAACCGTGCAAATGACGAGTTGTTTGCCCAAAAAAAAATCTCGAAGGACTGCACCTCCGGCTTTCGCTTTCTGCTGAGTTTGTTCCCTAACGACAATACCATTGGAGCCCTCCATCGATAAAAACTATCTGAAACTTTCTTCTTGAATTCGTCAGCAATGACATTTAGCTCAGCTAGGGTTTAGCCATCTTGTTCTCGTAGTTTTCGAAAGGAGCGTCCGGGTCAGTAACATTTTTCTCATCTTGCCCCTGTAACCTTTGCCAGTCAGTTCTTCAAATATAGACTTTCGTTGTGCTTGATGTAGACCCGGTTCATCCTGAGTCCTTTATAATGAAGCAGAGTGATATACTCTTCAATTGTGGGCACCACGTCTTCTGGATTGAATATGACGCATAGTCACCTTGTAGATTGCCCTCTGCATTTTCATCTCTTGTATTACAACCCCTTTGTCCATTAATGCAGATTATTCATGTTTAACAAACACGTTTTTGGTAGATCAACACCTCTTTTAAATAATGCAAGTGATGAAAATAAAATGAAAGAGAATAAAAAAATAAAAAAATAAAAAGAGTTAGTGAGGTAAATCAAAACAATAAAAATGAACAAAAAAAAATCCTACCCCACATGATATCTACCCTATATGCTTATTATTCTTACCCGGACATGATCTCTATCCCACATGCTAATTTCAAACAAATCCTAACCGCATATTTGTCTAGTTCACATGCTTTGGAATAGAAAATAAAGCAGGAAATAATCTCGAAGCAGCCTAAGGTTTGAAATGAGGTTTTGGGGTGGGCTCTAATTCCCTCTAGTCTCCCGGTTTAAGTTCTAAAAGGGTACCCGAGTTCTCATTGCTGGTGCCCCCTTGGGCTTGCCAGACCCCTTAGTCCTAAGCCTATTACAAGCTTGCGTGGACTAAGTTAAGCTCGATAGGACACATTCCCTTATGTCTGTGCGGTGAATAAATTCACACGAAGACGTAAGGTATATGAATCCCGAAGGCTACTTGCTAGGCATATGCGGTGAATAAATTCACACGAATGCATCGCTTTCACCCCCACTTAAAACGGGTTCGGAGCTCGGGTTTAGAGCTTAGAGATGACAATTTTGAAAAAATCTGAAATTATTAAAAAACGTCAGTACAACTATTTATTTGAAAAATAATCAAAGGTAAATAATTAAAATCAAATAAACAAATTAAAATTTAAACTTGTAATTTTCGCTAAAAAAGACAACCAGAAATTAATTTCGGCCTGACTCACTTACCTGTCCCCAGCGGAGTCGCCAAGCTGTAGGAACAGTCTTTCGGTTGGGCCCTAGAATTGGGCTTCGACTTGAAAAATGTGGATTGGAGTCTCCACCGATCACTTTAAAAACATTTAGGTGGATCGGACGCCCTCTTACCTGATCTGCGTTGTAACAGAAACGTATCGGGTCCGGGAGTCGGTTACGGTCAAGGAATGATTAGCACCCTTGAACCACCCTTTCGGTACCAATTAATTTAACGGTTGTCTTTAATTGCGAAAATTGAAATTTAAAATATTCGATTTAAATTACTTAACTTTGATTAATTGAAAAATATCCCTAAAATCAAAAATATTGTTAAATAATAAATAATAAATAAACATTAAATAAATTAAAGGGAAAAATAAAAAAACAATAATAAAAAAAATGAATATAGTGTAGTGACAGTACTCTTAAAGTTAACTGACAAACAAGACACAAATCCATAACCTGAAACATACATGTGGCAACCTGGCTTTCATGTTGCTGTGCACGTGTAGTTAAATGGAATAGGAGGATTTGGAATTACCAAGCTTGAGAGTTTTGTTGAATCTCCAGTAAAGAGCAGGTCCACAAATGCTTCCAAAATCCATGGTTTAGGTAGATTCACCGACGCAACAAATGAAGTCTATGTAGGCGCCGACCCATATACAAATTCCTTGGTATCTCCTCGGGCAGTGGTAAAACACTCGGTTCGTGCTCTGTGTCATGAATATTCCAGTGTAAACCTTCATCTCCAGGTTACCAAAGCTGATAAGATAGTTCGTTGGAAGTCGCCTCTAAACCCAGCAGTGAAAGTGAATTTTGACTCGGCCTTCATGGTTAAAGCGGTGGCAGCATATCACGCGTTGGAGTTTGCAGCAGACTTGGGCTTTTTCATTTGCCATGTTTAATTTCATCTTCAGGTCTGGAAACCTTGTTGCTCATTTGTTAGCCACCGACAGATATTATGGGGAAGAGGAGCGAATCAGAGAGATTCATGTATTTACGTTGACCATGGGCTTGGACCTCAGCTTGGTGTTCCAGATGTTAAACAAAGGAAATCAAAGCTTAAGAACTGAGCTCCCCCTAGATTTGAAGGTCGAGTGGCGTTTTATCGCTTCTGTTGATGGAATTGAAAGAGAGAAAAGAGCCGAGAATCGTGGAGAGGTGGGTGGTGAGATTATGGACGCTGTGGGGGTATTGAAATGGTGGAGATATCAATAGAGGTTCCCTTATTTTTGGGTAGTAGTGGTGGAGTAGTGGGATTGAACATGGGTTCCTACAAAAAATAAAATAAAGAAATTATTAATAATAATAAATAAATTATAATAATAAAAATATAAATATAAAACCCGGTCAAAAATGGGTGTCTACATTCAGGTTATTCGAACTCCAACTCAGGTAAAGGAAAATTTATAACCTTTTGTTTGTGCATACAATTGGATTACTGAAATTCTTTAATTAGGAATAAACAAAGCTTTCATGAGACGGCATGGATGTTTCCTTGAAACATGGATGAATAAATTGGACTACCTTTGTCCGACAAATATCCAGAAATGTGTATGGGAATCTTCCGACTACCCTAAAAATATATAGAAGGGCTAGGAAAATTGAGCATACACGAGCGTTTGGTTTGTATTTAAGGCTGTAATTTGAAACTACCTCTTTATCTTTTTCAGCAAAGACCTAGTGACGAGGGAATTCCAAGATATATGAACAGTTGGCATGTTGTGAAGGAAACAGCACGGTGAGAACATATCGAAACCCGAATTTACCATCTTACCGCTGAGAATAAACTTTAGTATGTATTAACCATTGTGAATGCTATTATTTGCAACTTCCTTCCTCTATAAGTTGATTTCTTTCTGGTATTAAATGACTTGCAGGTTTGAGGGTCTTCATGGATTTTACAAAGGGATAACCCCGAACCTTCTGAAAAATGTTCCTGCTTCTTCGATAACATTTATTGTTTACGAAAATGTATTCAAATTGTTAAGACCGTTAAGAAAGAATGGTTGAAGAAGGCGTCAACGTCAACAATGAATGCATGGGGTTGAGAAGGAAGAAAGATTCAGGACACATCAACTTAATTAAAGTACAAATATCACAACTTATTTTGGCAATATTATTCACCCGTGAGATATACATTTCGATCATCTTATTCTACGGCTATATCAAATTCGATGTATGCTGTCAGAAGCCATGCCATTTGTTAGCCAAATCAATGGTCTTCATGGAAACTGCTTGGATCTTCCCTTTCCCATTTTCAGCTCAGTTTATGAAATCGACACTGGATGTGGGAAAATGAAGACTACTCGATCGTGTTTGTTTTCCCTGCTCCAGGCTTTATGAATCGAGAGAGTGTGGAAGAACTTTATACGGGTTGAGTATCCCATTGGGGTCAAGCAGTTTTTTTATGGAACCCATCGTTTTTACCTATCAAAACAAATTCTCGATTTAGACGCCTTGAAGCAACCATGACCGGAAGAAACAAAATTAGCAGGCAGAACGTTGTAGTATTTTTTTTTGTTTAGAAGAAAACTCACGGTTTCTGGAGATTTGCTGTAATAAATCTTGTTAGCTTTCATCAGTCCCAGGCCATGTTCGGCACTGATACTCCCCCGGTGCTTAGATGTCCATTCGTAGACATAGGGTTCGATTTGTTCTAAAATCTGTGCAATATATTGCAGATGCTTAATAAAAATATTGAAGCATTTCAAGTTTTAAACAAGGATCTTACTTTATCATCATACTGCGGAGCAGATACATTGAGATGCAAATTTCCATCCCCCAAGTGACCGTATCCAACTACTCTGGCCGAATCACCTGAAATTTTAAGATGCAGTTAGAGTGGATTTTTGGTGACATTTATATTGTGAAATGCTGGACTAGTAATTTACAACTTTTGAATTAATAGGAAATGAAAACTTCTATACATAGAAACGATAACAACTTTTCTGACCAAGTCTTGTTCTCATGTCATCCACGAGATCATACATCCTCTCGACAGGCAATGACAAATCATATTTGTAAACTGCACCAGCTTTCATCAATGCTTCTGGCACGCCCTGCAACGTAAGAGAAGGAACATTGAAACTAAATCCTTGAATATAAGATTAGCAGCGTCCCCGATGATTATCAATTATAAAAAATGTGGTATTGAGACGTGAACCTCACGTATTCGCCAGAATGAGGATGCTTGGTTTATGTCTTGTGCAAGAACACCATCAGAAATTAAACCACCTTCCATCGAGCTAAGTAAGAAGGCCTCAAGTTTCTCCCTGCAGGAATTCTAATAATTTGTAAACACATGGAGATACCATGGGTGTTGATAGCTTAAAATAGATATTAGAAGGAATCCCAAAATATAGTACAATCATCTACTGATCCTTCCCCTTTCATTCAGGAAGTGGAGCCAGAAGCGATAAGAACCAAATTCCGTAAAACGGTTAATGAAAGATCATTTGATAGCATCAAGTTCCAACATATCCAAAAAGGAAAAAAAAAAACTCAAGAGGTAGGTTCAATCTGTTAGTTGATTTTAGCCATTTGATCTAGCAATCAAGGTTTGAGCTTCAGTTAGGTTTGTGTTATGAAAGCACGGGATTTAGTATAGAAAAAAATGTATTAAAACAGGTTTATTAACAGTACATGGATAATAACCAATTAACAATGATACCTATCATATGATTCATCACTGCCCGTCGTCTCAATTAGAACATAAAAGTTGTGCATTGGGGCAGGTAATGGATTCCGAACTCCATCTAAATGATTCAATACCTGGCAGATATAATGCAATAAGTAGGAAGCAAATAGAAATAGTATAAAGAATCAACAATGCTTCTATTCCGACCTTCATTCAACAACAAAGACTTGCAGGACTATATATTAATAGATCAGAGAATTTCAACCAATAGTCCAGTCAAAATATAAAAGTAAAAAAAGGGTATCCAGCAGCAAAATTAATAGCATATGATGCACATACTGGGAGAAGAGTTGCAGTATGCTACAAAAAACTAACCAAATCCATGGCCTCGATATCCAAAAACTCAAAAGCAGATAGAATCTCCCCCATTTTTCTTTTTGCTTCCATGAGTAGTTTCTGAAAAACATAAGAAAGAAAATGGTAAGCAGAAGAAAATGTCTCGGCTATACTATTATTATGCATTAGTTGAGCAAAAACTGATCCTAAGAAAAAAAGTATTATGGAAGCAGATCAAACCTGGCAGCTAGAATAGTCTCTGCATGCAAGAAAAGCTATATTAACCGAAGACAACTTGGGCGGGGTCAATATAGAAACTTTAGTTACAATTCCCAGAGATCCTTCACTTCCTACACCAATGATAGAAGAAACATAAAGGAAGTTGAATTCATTACTGAAAATGTACTAGAAACAATCCACTACTAAAGGCACTCACCTATAAACAAATGCTTCAGGTCATACCCAGTATTATCTTTACGCAAAGTCCCAAGCATATCAAGTACATCACCATTTGCTAAAACAGCTTCAAGACCTTCAATGTTATGGCAAAGATAGTAGTGTTAATAATGGTTAAATGGCTAGACTATGTTCAACTCCTCAACTTCAAGATCGTTCACTTCATTCTAACATTAACATTAATCCATCTCCAGAGTTTCATGTTTCTTTTTCTTTTAGAAAATGAGCTTCAAACACCAAGAAGAAACTTGAAATACTTTAAGACTTGTCTAAGCAACCATAAATCCCAAGTACAACAGCAAATATGCATAACCTCATATAACCAGATGGACGAGAATGTAATGCCTTAAAATTTTCATATTAGCAGTTTCACTATGCATAACATTCAACAGGCTCCTTTTCAATTTTCCTTTCTGATTAGCAAAACTACCTTACTTCTGTATGTTTACACAGAGGGAATAAAAGGGCAGAAAAAGGGGGAAATTGAAGAAAATTAGTCCGAAGTTCAGATTCAAAGGCGGAACAAGCAGATGCCTCACCAAGTACATTCCCATGAAGCGAACCATAACGTACAAGGCGCAAACCACCAGCATTAGTTGAAACATTTCCACCAATTTGACAGCTTCCTTTCGCACCTAAGTCCAGAGGCATGATAAATCTGAAAAAAATAAAGCATGTACGGATATAGCATGAGTGAAAGCAGATTAATATCCACATATATATTGACAGTAGCAAGCAATTACCCTTGGTTGTCCAGGAAAGAGATAAGATTTTCTAATATGCATCCTGCTTCACATACCAATATACCACTGACCTGAAATATAGCATACAAAAATCTTTTATACATAAGTGGTGGCGAATTTTCTTTTCCTTTACAAAGTGGTTTCATTTAGTGTTCTGAATTGATCAGGATCGATCAGGCTTACTAGATGTTATTTCCTTTTTGTTCATGAAGTCCGATAATGCAATTCATTAGGTACCAAGTGGATTTTGATAAATAGAATCCACATTGCATAATCATGATTCAAAATGAAATGTCTTATAATTAGTGGTGAACAAAACTTGACTCAAAAAAATTTCAAATTCGAGTTGAGTTACAAAATAGAACTAGAATAACTCGAAATTTTAGTAATTAGTGGATTGATTTTCAAGTTTGAGTCGAGTCCTTCAACTTTGCATGATATATGTATATAACATATGAAGAAATATATATGTATATTGTATATGGTTATAGAAAACCTTTTAAATTGGAATCAAATAGTATCATAACATTGTACATATTACAATTAAATTTAAACAGAATCTCGAACAACTTGACTTGAGAAAAAATAAATAAAATTGAGTTATAAAATAGGACTCATCAACTTGAATAATTTGAATTATTTTATTCGACTCAACTCAAATTGATTGAATGCTCACCCCTATCCATAATTGGCCAAAAAATAAAAGCAGAATAAGCAAGAAACAAACAGAGAAATAACATAAAAGCATACCGTGTCAAAACTTATGATATTATTCATTGAGCCAACATTGACAATAACCTAAAGAATTAAATCAGCAAGAGCAATTAATTAAATACATGAAAAGAAGAAAGCCTCAACCAAAAGGACTATCAAACAAGAGATTACTGATCAATAATTGGAAACAATTCCCAGCACCTCATCAAAGACAGGCACACTGCCACCAACAAGGCCGGTATTTCCCCCTTGAGGAACAACAGCCAAACACCTCGAATTACAATAATTCAGAATCTGTGCCACCTGCAATACAGAATTGAATATAAAAATACATACAAAGACCTTGTTTTAGTAGCGGTGAAGATACAACAAAGATGGACGAGCGAAAATTAAGAAAATGAACCTCCTCAGTACTTCGAGGTTGAAGCAAAAGCTTGCTAGAGCCTCTGTACTTATGCATCCAATCTGTATTTACAGTTTCAAGCCTATCCTCATCTTGAATAACACTTTTCTCTCCTAGTAAATGCTTAAAATAACTAATATCTTCGGAATTTAAAGTCGAAAATGCAGGATTTCTCTGAACAACTGTCGACACTGAACTGAAACATCTGTACCGAATCGCATTCGCTTCTCCGAAACTTTTGTAATCTCGGATCAGATTGAAGGTCGGCTGACAACTTTTTTCATTCAAACATCTAAATTCTGTTGAGAAAAACGTAATGATATCTAAACCATATTAATAATTCTTAAAACGATAGTACGATACTCAAATTTTCTGAAGAACGATTGAAAGGAGTTGAGCTCAAGGCAGCGGATAAAACCTGAAACGGAACTTAATTGTCGGTTGAGAATCGACTTCAATGATCGCCGGAGATTGCTTGTAGCTCTCCACTTCTCCATTTTCAGTTGCCCTTTTTGTTTGGCCAGTCGTTTCGTGCCTATCCAATGGGCGAAAGTAGGAGAGCTGTACTTAAACACGAATTCTTAACAAAATATTACAGCTTGATGAACTAATCAAAAAATTCGACTCGCTGATTCCAGATTCCAAATCGAATACCCAATTTAATTTGATATTATTTAAAAAAGGTAAACTACAAAAATGGCCACTTAACTATGGGTCAGATCAAGAAATGGTCACCATTTTCAAAATAGTCACATATATACCACTAAATTATTTAAATGGGTTCAAAAGAGCCACTAATTATTATAAACGAAACCCCGAATCTAACGTGGCCATAAAAAACTAACGGCGGGTCCTCTTGAGCATCTTTTCAGAAAATCATACCTAATATCAGTATCGGTAAGATATCTTATATTTGTCTTATTAGTGGCATGTATATTATATATGTATATTGCTTTATCATAATTGTTTTAAATGGTTTGTAATAGTAAAATAGGATCATTTATTTTTTATTTGTCTAGTTATATTCGTATTTATAATTGAATAGTATATATATATATATATATATATATACACGTTTATGTTTTTAAAATGGTTTTCTAATTAAGCAATATTTAGGCAAGTTTTTAAATAGTTTATGAATATAGTATTAAATTGCCTAAAATTGGATTCGTTTTGAACGTTTAAATATTATTTTATGATTTTACACGATTGTTGAAATAGTTTAAAGTTGAAAAGGGAAAGTTTTTTAAATGAAACAAAAATTTTCAAGTGTTTATGATCAATGAATGTCTGTAAAGTTGATGCACCATCTTTAACTCGTATTTCGATATGTATACGAGTTATGGGTGTTACATACTTAACAGATTAAGTCATTGAAAGGTGAACATAATTATGTAAGGGGGTTTAAAAATCAAAATGTAACTTC